TCAGAGTTAATGGTTCGGGTCCAATGACCCTTCCTCAGAACACCCTTCTGAGGAAGGGTCACTGAAGCCGAAAGGTTAACTCTGATTTTTTCTTCACAGATGCTGCGAGATCTGCTGAGCTTTTCCAGCAACTTCTGTTCTTGTACAAATAATGTGTTCTGTCATGCATGCTGTGAACAGTTATAAGCAGGTCCATCTAGAAATTAGGAAGAAAATAAGATAAAATTGAAGACGGGGATATTTAATACTATTTTGTTGTATATTTCAGGAAATTTTCATAGATTTTTAGGAATTCATACTTAATGCCTAGATTTCTTTGAGCAAAACTAACTGGAATTTTAGTCATGAATGTAATTTTTTTTCACTTTTTGTTTGGAAACTACAACTGAAGTTTAAACTGCCCAGATGCAATAATTGAATGTTCTAGACTGTCAAAAAGTTCAGAGTTCAAACCGTGCCCTTGCTATTATTCAGTTGTTATGACATTGGTCAGCAAACCACATTTTATACAATAACCTATTATTCCACATAGTGAGATGTCTCTGTCAATTAGTGCAATGTCATTCTAGTCTATGGGGTTCTTGTACCTCCAGCTGGGGCTTGTTAATGATAAACTTACCCAAAGGACCACTCCAACATATGGTTGATGGCTTTTCAAGGCTGAAAGGTGCACTACAAAAAATAATTCCTGTCAGCACTAAGTGAATAGGTCATGGGATTTACTACTGACATAGAACAACAAAGTTTGTTTTTGCACATATTTCTGGCTAATCCCACTGGGAATGGTGCATTATGCTGAGATCCTATGGGTGAGTTGTTAACTAATGTGTCGCAGCTGGAATTAGAGAAAAAATTGAGAAACTTTAAATACTACATTATGGTAATATGCTGCTCGAAGGGACTGTTGAAGTTGAAATGCTGCATAGCTGCTTCTACAAGGGAAGATGCTTAAATATGGTGGTATTCAGAGTTGCTATCTAATTTCTGCTGAAAAAAATAGTCAAGTGTATGACATTGGAAAACAAGCCAAATTCCAAATCTACAGTATATTTAGCGAGAGACATATTATTCTCAGGTATAAAATGGAATGGTGAACATTGGCATTAGGAATAGTGCTGTAAATAGCTGTATGAAAGAGTTAAGCACAGGTCACGTAACTCGCTATTCCATAGATAGGTTCAGTGTGAAGAAATGCTCCCATGCTTTGTACTGTGATGTTTATTGCTGAATTTTCCCATAACACTTTGGCTTCTCCATGAATACTCAGTCTCAGTATTTCGAGCTGCAGCTCCATATAAAGAATAGATTTTTTGAATGTAGCAACAATAATTTTCCTTTGCTAACCAAAATCGGACATCTTTTAGTTTTGTTGACTCACAGTAAAGCTAGGTGATTTGTTATTCATGATCCTCATTAAGCACTTCAGATAGATTTGCCACTGACCCAAAAATGCATCTTAACCCTAGTCTCAGAAAAACACCTTCTACTGCATCATAATGACATTTCCATTTCCCACAGCAGCTATCTCCTTAGCCTTTCTGAATAAGGCTGCCAATTTGGTGCTAATTGGTGCTGATTAATGGGTAATTTTGTGTTGCAGATTCTAACCCACTAAAAATTGGATTGAGACTGCCTAAACTCATTTCTTTCAGACTCTTCCAGCTGTCAGAGAGAAAAGGCTTCTATCCTATCAGGCTGGCCTGGACTCAAACTCAAGTTGCCAAGGTGAGAGGACAATGTCCTCACCCACTGTTACATGCAGTTTCCCGATACTGCACTTCTAATGAATTGATGCTACATTGTATGTCCTTTTAAAAGAAGGAGAACAAGTTAAAAGAATCATTTTGCATGCCAGATACCTTTTGCGGGACAAGCCAAATCCAAGCTGCTCACTTATTATTTTCAATATCCATTCTAATACATAACTAATGGAAATTAATTATTAAAGAAATGCATTCATTCTAGTCTTGTATGTGTGTCTCTTTTGTTTAATATCATTCCAATTATGAACATGAAACTATGGTGAACTTTAAGCTATGATTCTGCATTGGACTGAATTTTCAGTGGTATCGGGAGCAGGATTGGAAGAGGAATTTTTGTTGCAAGCAGGCATGTCCTTTTGCTGGTACTGTTCCATCTCAAAGCCAATCTAAAACACATCAGGATGCTGTAATTTCCCAAATGATTGCTCTTAATAACTTGTGGTATTTGCCACCTCTCCCAGTACATGATACTGGGTGGGGGTTATTCGACATAGTTCACTGCCACCAATCATCCTTTAATTTTGCTTACTCCTGAGGCTGCCTAGTGATCAGTGGTAGCGGATCTGCAGAACAGGCATTGTCCTTCGATAACAAGAGGGGTTATTGCCATTATAGCAATAAGCACAACAATATATAGTTAGGCATTTTTACTAGGAACCTTAGGGAGCTGGTACAGATACATCTGCTCCGTCCAAAAACTAGAGTAGAATGCACTGTCTCCCACAGACTCAGAGAGAGTGAAACATCAATAGAATAGGACCCCTCGAAAACAATTGCCTCATACAATGCGGGGTGAAAGGGCTACCTGCCTCCAAGTGCAAGTCGACAATAAAGACAATTAAGGGCTTTTAAAACCACAACCACCAGTGCACCCCCACCCTGGGTCTCAATGATTGAATAGTTACAGCTGTAGTCCACCCTGTGATGGGGTAATCTCAGCAACTGTGGACCTTTTTATTTTTCAAACTGTTGAAAGTGCGAAGAGATTCTCTCAAGATGGAGAAATGTTGTCTTTCCCTTACCTGCAGGCTGCAGTCTCTCAGTTCCTGAGGGTGTCCTTTTGATCCTGCAGCATTAGGACATTTGGCCATTAACTGGCCATTCGTTTGAAAATTATGTGTGACAACTATTTCTGACATAGTGTTGGGAGCTGAGGCTAAACATGACTGGGTTCGGGAGACATTTAATTAACCCCTAACCCCACCCCAGTAGCTACCATGATGTGCTGCGGATGGGTTATATTGATCTGTATTGGAATCTCTGGTCTACATTGGGAAGAACCCCACTCTCTGATGCTACCAGCCACTTAGCTTAGGTGTTATCAGGACTTGCAGACACACCCACGAAGGAGGCTAATGGACTCTACCATGTGGTAACTCAGTGTTTTTTTTTTGGGCACAATAATTTTTGTTTTAGCCCTACAGGAAAGGTGTCAGGATGGGTGAGAGTTGTCTTTGGTAGTGCAGGCAGACAGGAAGGAAGGGCATGCTTTCGTCTTGAGGTTATCCCTAATGGACAAAAGGCACCCCCTGAAGATAGTACTCCTTCCACGTTATAAACAAATAGCAAATGTCCACTCCTGCCTGACCACATCAAACATTTCATGGCACAGACAGCATAATATTGGAGTCTATTGAGCTTTCAATTTCAATTGACACAACTTCATTCAGTTACATATGATTTCTGATTTCAGCCTCTGTACTATTCAGGTGAGCTAGAAATGGGTAGGAAGATAGTGTGCTATTCACCTAACCTATATCACATAACCCCGGATGAAAATGCCCAGGCAGGTGTACTTAAAATATTGTCCTCCGCTGTGATCCTAGCATTGAGGTCCTCACCCCAAAACTAAGATACTGCCCCATGAGTCTGTTTTATCTCCAAAGCTGTTTTGTTAACATACACATCATCATTATTTTTCCTCTGATAACTGAACTGCCCACTACAGCAAGTGTATGGCATAGGTTCTTGCTGTGAATACTGGCAGCTTGCAATGATTCTAATTAGTTGTGCTAAAAGATGCCACATTAATATTCCTTACAAGCTTAGAGATATAGTGGTGTCAAATAGAAATGTAAAAGATAGGAGGTATGGCCATTTCCAATCCTCAATAATAATTGTAGCAATCTTACTGAAGCATATTGTGGGAGTCATTGCAGCATTATAATAGTCAGCTATTTTATAAATCAATTTATTTTTAATAATTTTGTTTGTTTGCTTCAGATCTTTACATGCTGTGTCCCTTTTGAATAATAGTTGTGGAAGAGGTGGAAGAATTAATAGGATAATCATCAATCTGGTGAAGTATGTCATGGATGCTTTTTAAACAGTAAGTACTGTCGTCGAATTTCACCATAAATACCTTCCACAGATAATCTTCAAAAATGCACATACATTTTTGTTACATAATGCCTCTGTATTAAGCTCCTTCTAGTGGTTAATCACAGGTATGAGGCACAATGACATTATAAATCATGATGACGATTGGACGTAACAAAAGAAAGATTTGAGATCAGGATGCAAGTCAGCAGTCAAGGACATAGTTATCACAGTACTAAACTGATGCTCAGTAGCAGCAGTGTGTACCATCTAAGAGATGCACTGCAGAAACTCTCCAAGGCTCTTTAGACAGCGCATTCCAAACCCACAATCACCATTATCCAGAAGGATAAGGACAGAAGATACATGCAAACACCACTATCTGCAAGTTCCCTTAAGCCACTTGCCATCCTAACTAGGAAATTCATCACCATTCCTTCATTGTCACTGGGTCAAAATCCTGGAATTCCCTCCCAAATGGCTCTGTGGGTGTATTTACAACAAATGGATTTCAGCGGTTCAAGAAGGCAGCTCACAACCAACTTCTCAAAGGCAACTAAGGATGGGCAGTAAATGCTAGCCCTGCCAGAGACACCCATATCGCATGAGTGAATGAAAGAACATCACAGATATGGAAGGATAGTGTGTAACGTTATGCTTGGTGGTACAGTACTGGGGAAGTGTTAACCTGTCAGGTGGATGGGATTCCATGCGGGCAGCAGGTTAAAACTGCTAAAACTGCTCAAGTATTGGCAAGCCAGCATGACCCTGCCACGTTACACCCATAACTTGAGCATGTTCTCCAGCTCATGGGAAACCCACAGAGACCGGTAGATCTGCCATTTAAAATAAAAACAGTAAACATTGGAGAAAGCAGCAAGTCTGACAATATCTGTGGAGAGAGAAACACAGTTAACCTTTTTTGAGTTCAATATGATTCTTCTTCAATGTGTAAAATGCCTGTTAGTTTTACCTGCTGTTTTAACCCAGGATTCTGATTTTAGAGCTGTGTGCACGGGTTTCCCAGACTTTGTCAGAGAAATAAACCCAGAAGACAGCAGATTTTGAAGGCCTGCGCAGTTGGCAGGCAAAGAATTTTGAGATTTAAACATTGAGGTCTAACACCAACTTCCTTGTCTAAGTGGAAGAGCATTCTCATTGCTTTGAATGTGTTTTTCAATACTTTGGGAGGCCACTTACACTACCTTGGTATTGTTGCCTTTGATCTGCATCTCCCAGATCTTCATGCAACATGTGAACAGCTTGTGCAGCACTACCTTTGGTTCAAGTGAGGAAAAAATAAAGCAAAACCAGAAACCACCAAGAGCAGCAGGGGCAACAGCCTTTCAATCCTCAAGATAAACACAAGGCTTTGTCTCACAGTAACAATATTTGCAACACTAGATGTACACCTCTGGTTCTTTCCAGGGATCTGTGGGTAATAGTTATAGAATCCCACAATCTGCTGCTCACAAACATCTCAAAGATGACAGAATCTACCAGGATTGACAGTCATGTGCCATTTCACTTCACTGAAACCAGGTGGAATGTGTGCATACCCAGCTTAGTTGTCTGACAGGGTTTCCACAAACCCAAGCACAAATGGGACCATCAAAGCCTGCTCCCAGATTACCCAAAAATCTTCATCAATCCAAAACAAAGTCTATTCCATCAATGTTCAGCTGAATTGCAAACACTAAAAGATCATGATTTAGAGTTTGAGATGTCTAGGGAGCTCCAGTGATTCAATAATTCTGTGCAAGTTAAAGTGCCCAGAGTGTTTTTTAAATTCACTCATGGGACATGGGTGTCACTGTCTGGTCAGCATTTATTGCCCATCCCTAGTTGCCTTTAAGAAAGTGATGGTGAGCTGCCTCCTTGAACCGCTACAGTCTGCATACTGTAGCTTGACCCACAATGCCTTTAGGGAGGGATTTCCAGGGTTTTGACTCAGTAACAGTGAAGGAACAGCAATATATTTCCAAGTCACAAAGGTTAGCTTGGAGTAGCTTGGAGTGGATCTTGCAGGTGCTGGTGTTCCCTTGTATCTGGTGCACTTGTCATTCTAGATGGAAGTGATCGTTGGTTTGGAAAGTGCTGTCTAATGAACTTTGGTGAATTTCTGCAGTGCATCTTGTAGACAGTACACACTGACACTACTCAGCACGGTGATGGAGGAAGTGGATGTGGTGCCAATCAAGTGGGCTGCTTTGTCCTGGATGGTGTCAAGATTCTTGAGCGTTGTGGGAGCTACACCCATCCAGGCAACTTGGGAATATTCCATCACACTCCTGACTTGTGCCTTGTAGATGATGGACAGGCTTTAGGGAGTCAGGAGGTGAGTTACTCACTGCAGTCTTCCTAGTCTCTGCTCTTAGCCACTGTGTTTATGTGGTAAGTCCAGTTGAGTTTCTGGTCAATGGTAACCCCCAGGATGTTCATAGTGTATGATTCAATGATGATAATACCATTGAATGTCAAGGGATGACAGTTAGATTTTCTTTTATTGGAGATGGTCATTGTATGGCATTTGTGTGGTGCAAATGTTACTTGCCACTTGTCAGCCCAAGAATGGATATTGTCCAGATCTTGTTGTATTTGAACATGGACTGCTTCTGTATCTGAGGAGTTATGAATTGTGCTGAACATTGTGCAATCATCAACAAACAACCCCACTTCTGTCCTTCTGATGGAGGGAAGGTCATTGATGAATCGTTTGAAGACGATTGGGCCTAGGACACTACTCTGAGGAACTACTGTGGAGATGTCCTGGAGCTGAGATGACTGACCTCCAACAACCACGACCATCTTCCTATGTGTCAGGTATGACTCCAACCAGCAGAGAGTTTGCTTCCTAATAAACATTGATTCCAGCTTTCTGGGGCTCCTTGACAGTAACAGCTTGAAGCAGAATCAGCATTCCTTGAAAACAAGGACTACCCTGTAAGAATACAGCTGATCTCACCAGCTGTTTAAACATTGGCTTTGAAGTACAATAGAGCCACATGAACACCATACGACTAATTGAGCAAACAAGTTGGGACGCTAAAGATGTGGAACACATGCCTGGACAGATCTGGGGCACTCTTTGGTATATTTTACCGACACATTTGCCATTCTCAAACAGGGCTGTTAAGTGGTTTCCTTGAAAATCAACCATGTGTTTGCTCATCAGACAGCGTGGTATCTTAAAGGGATAGGTCAGAAGTGTGGTGGAATACTCCCCATTTGCATGGATGAGTGCAGATCAGGAACACATCATTCAGGACAAAGCAGTCTGCTTGATTGGCACCACATCCACAAACATCCATTCCCTCCACCACCAATACTCTGTAGTAGCTGTGTGTACCATCTTTTAGATGCATTGCAGAAATTCACTGAGGCTCCTTAGACAGCACCTTTCAAACCCACAACTGCTACCATTTAGAAGGATGAGGGCAGAAAATACATGGGAACGCCACTACCTGCAAGTTCCCCTCCAAGCCACTCACCATCCTGACTTGGAAATATATAGCTATTCCTTCACTGTTGCTGGGTCAGAATCCTGGATTCCCTCTCCAACAGCACTGTGGGTGTATGTGTATAGCCCATCGACTTAAGCAGTTCAAGAAGGCAGCTCACCACCACCTTCTCAAAGGAATTTAGGAATGGACAATAAACGTTGGCCCAGTCAGTGATGACCACATCCTATGAATGAATAAAAATTAACTTTCAGTTACAGAGCAGCATAATTGTATACCCTTACTCTTGCATTCTGTAACCTGCATTCCTCATGCCTCATAGTCCCAAGGTTTCATCCTGGTCCATGGGTCAATAACATATTCAACCTTTAACATAATATCACAGCATCCTTTTTTATTCAAAGACCTTTTTATTTCTCCAAGAGATTGTTTTGGAAAATGTTGATGGGGTTTGAAGCTTTAACAAGCTCCTTCATCCTCTCAGACAGCCTGTGAGAAATCATAGGCCTTGCTCTTGTCATGAGTCCTCCTGACAAATTGATCTATTGATTCTTGTGGTTGTTCCTGTAAGACATCAACTCCAAAATGGTGAATTCTAAAGTTTACTTTTGCATGTATTTGATCCTTCAGCATATCCCATAGCTCAGTAGGATCTTTCTGTTCTCTTGAGACAGGCTTGAGTTGTTGCTTCTGTGAAACTCCTCATATAAAGCAATATCACAACCGCCACCATACCCCCTCCAAATGCCAGTCCCAAATGCAACTATTTGTTCATCTCACAGCCTCCCATTGTTTTTCTTTCAATCTTGTCATACCATTCTTCATAAGGCAGATGGCTACTTGACAGGCAGTGGGCAAAAATGGCAGAGACAGGACAATGGAGCTTTGAAATCCAATTTGTGGTTCCTAAACATAAGACAGAAATGTGACAATGTAACACAGTTAAACACTCAACAGAATCTTTTTGTGTAAATAAAAATTTTATACAGGCGGTCTGCAAGTTAGGGACATTCGACTTACAAACACTTGTACCTATGAACGAGGTCCCATATTAATATTGAAGATCTGACATTTAAATATTTACTATTATTTACGAATGGCTATTTTATATTGTTATGTATTGTGCCTGAACTGCGCACAAATTGATTGTTGAGCATACTCAAGAATGGACCTCATTCGTATCCCAGAGACTGCTTGTATTTTCTTTCTTTAACTATTCTTACATGATGCAAACTCTTCAGCAAAACATTGAAGAATCTATATTTTTGGATTGTGGTGGAGCCATCGTAAGTTAGCACTAATGGGAGGGATCTTTCGTTGACTGAACATTGTAACATATAAGGTACAGAAATATCAAAAGTTGATACATTAGACTCTGCCTCAGAACAGAGTTTGACCCTGTTTTAAAATTTAGTATGATACCACTTTACTTTAGAGCAGGAGAGGCATTGGAAGGTCTGTGTGTTGTACTGTAGGATGGTGAGGTGAGGGCTTAGGGAATTCTGGGGAAATTGTCAGCTCAGTGAAGATAAAGTGAACAGCAGTCATT